ATAAGTTATGTAATTATAATTGAATTCACAATAAAGGCAGTAGCCACTATAACTAATAGCCTTAGTGAAAGCAAAAAAAAAAAGTTTTTATATGATAAATTTAAATTTGTTTTTTTTTTTTTTTTAGTATTAAGGTGACCTCTTTGGTCTTTTGACTTTTTTTATTAATTACTTATTAATATTATAGTTCAATGAACTACTACAAGAGAGAGTACAATTGGCTATATATGTAACTTTTTTATATTACCTATTTAAGAAGTCTATTCAAAGGTTCCTTATCAATTGCTATATCTACACTCCTGCTTGGGTGGTTCACTTTAAATTCTCTAAATCTGTAATTTGTGTTAATTCACTGGGTCATACCCAGATGCCCAGATCATTATCTCAACCTTAGGACTAATTTATTCTCAAAGTAAACCTCTCAGAGCCTTCTATACATATTTTTATATTTAACTTAGGTATCACTATGGCAGAACTAACACTTGCAGTTAGAGCTGACTATTAAACTGCTATGCCTTTGTAGAGTTCACTTAGACCCTAGCATCTACTTTACAGCATAATCCCAGTACTTTAGTATATCTCTGCTTTTTCACTTGCCTTTTTACCAAACTTCCAATCCAGATAGCTTATATAGAACTATGACCAGTCCATCAGTATATCAGGTTAGCCTAATATCCTTTTTCTCTGATTTGTTTTAGTGGCCCGGTTGGTAGTACCTCTGAGACTCTTAACCTAGAGGTTTTTGTCTGTCTAGTTACTATGACTAGGTACTATAACCTTAGTATTCATTTCCACAGACTAGCCTTTACAGTAGAGCCATTAAAGATTCAGCTACCTCTCTACTCAAATCTTTCCAAATAGACTTTTTGTTACCTAATTTCAATGGATTTACATGGTTACATAGACTTATCTAGTGTTTGCACTGTCCAATTTGTTGGTTTGCATTCCTCTGTGTAATACCATACTTATACAGATGCCCTATGACTTGCTAGTCATGCTAGTGCAATTATTATTACAGGTATCCTAATCCAATCGTTAGTAACAGTTATTATAATATGAATATTATATAGATAATTATCTAAATTTTTACTATTTATGGGATTTGAACACCCAATTTACCACTTGAAGTTGACAACCTGACCATTTTACTAGGTCACTACATCTCTAAATTTAAATTTGTTATATAATGAATAATTTATTATTATTTATATAATTAATTATATAATTAACATTAATGTTTTTAAAATTAATTATAAACTAGTTTATAATAGGGATGGGGTTCCATAGCCTAGTGGTCTAGGCACCTCTCCCTCTACAGACAAGGTCAATAGTTCAATTCCAGCTAGAGGCAACTCTGTAATCTACGGAAGTATATGAATGTATGTGAAGCCCTGTGGCTAAGTCCATGTAATTAGAAGATCGGTATATAAGGAAGTTCCCAGAAAAAAGATTCCTAATATGGAAAGTTGGTGCTTGATGCAAGAGAAGTGGTGAACATACCAGAAATGAAGAGAAGGCGCACTAGTGGGTGATACAGTGAATATAAAAGAAAACTATGAAAAAGGAATGGACTTACCGAAATTCGAACACTTCTGGCACCAAACCGGTTCTAGTAAATACGGGATATACTAAAAATTGGATAAATCTAAGGGGTAATCTTGGTACCATACTTAGTAAGTTTGCGTCGAGAGTAAATTCGAAAGGACTATGAATACTTAGTAACATCCAATGTGGTGGGACTTAGATATAAATAGTAATTAGATAGCCCTAACCTGTTCTGTCATAAACATAGTGGTATACATTGTATATATATGCAGTTAAGTGTTGAAAATCAGAAAGTTTAAATAGGGGATTCACAGGCGGGTCTCAGGTATGGCATCTAGTGGGTAACCTATGGGCGGAACCCTTAATTAGATAATGACTAAAGTTATACATGTGACTAGTTGTACTTTCATTGATATACTCTGTAAATAATATGTAATCTTATACTACTACTAATAAAAAGACATATAGGCAAGACTGCCCTTAAAATTAAAAAAAAAAAAAATTTAAAATATTTTTATAATTAATTTAATAAATATTTTTATTTTATTAAAATAAAAAATAATTATAAATATAAGAATTGAAACTAGTAATATAAATTAGATCTATATAATAAATGCAATATATATAGATTTAAATTTGTATATATATTATTAAAATTAATTAGCACTCTTTATATATAAGATATAGTATACATTTTGCTTTATATTCATAAATTTTAATTTATTTATACAAATTTTGTTTGTATGCATTAAATTTGTTTTATATGCATAAATTTTATCTTATATATATAAAAATTTACTTTATATAAACAAAATTATATAATAATCATATTATACTAGTCAGTACTTGTAAAATATAATTTTTTTAAATATATTATAATAAACCTTAGTTTTAAAGATTTTATAACTATAAAAATTTTAATAAAAATTTTTATTATATTTTTTTTTGTTTTTTTTTTAAGTATAAGGCCTGGTCTTGATCTTTATTAAATAATTTGGTATTACATTAATTAAAATGTTTGACATAAATTATTACAGGGACCTATAGCTAGAACTAATTTATTCTTAGCCTAAACTTTACTAGAGTAGACTATCAAACCTCTTTTAGGTTTATCATTGCAATGTAGGAGGTAGATATATTTGTAGTATAAAAAATGTTTGCACATTTTTCATATTTACTTATAGCTATTTGATTTGTAGCTAGGTGTTTAGGTACTGTAACAGTGTGTTTGTTAGTAAGCTATTTTGATGTATTGCTTTACATCTTTCTATCCATATTTATTTATATATATTGTTTGATATTTTGTAAAATAGATTGGTAAATAAACATAAAATAATGTTGCAGTCTATGGGTATATTGTCAGGAATCAGATCTTGTATTTTAAAAAGAAGTTGTGTAGCATTTTGTATTTGAATAAACTGTTGCAATAAAGTAAATGTATTGCTGCTTTCAAGTTTGTACTTTGTACCAAACTTGTATATAGTTTGTTTAATTAGCTGATTAAGGGAAATAGTGTTTACTATGCATTCCAGTCAGTGTAAATTGTCTTTTATGTGTAATGTGCAATGATTGCAGATAGAATTAGTATATATTTTAGGTATTCTATAATGTAGGTTTAGAAGTATGAGTAGCTTATTTAGAAGAAACTTAATTTTGAAGCTTTTTAGTTAAGAATGCTTTGGACAGATATTGCAAGTATTAGGTTTGTTGTTATAGTTAATAAATTAATGTATTAGATCTCAATTAGTATTTTGAGATATAATATTCCAATAACTAGTCCTGTTTATGACATGCCATTTTGCAGTGTTTGTTACATTTTATAAATGTTAAATAAAACAATGTGTTTTATTTTCTATTAAAGTTCCATTCCAGATGAGATAGAATTTGTTATTATTGAAAGCATGAGGAAGAATATAAAGTTTATATTGTTGTGTTTTGGTAAAGAGATAAATTGTTCTGTTATAAAGAGAGTGATTATCAGAAACCTCAATATAGAAGCATTTAATTTTAAGATGTTTGTGAGCAATTATTGTTGAAATAACCAGTAGTTGTATTTTTGCAAACTAAGAGTATAATTTGATATTAGTATAATAAGTGAGTTAATATAGTTAATTGTGGTCTTGTGGGTCATCAAAACAGTTATTTGACAGTATTGTAAGGCTATAGTCTGTATTGTTATAATGCTAATAAGATATGCTCAAGTGATCAAAGGTCAAAATGTAATTTGAGAAAAAAATATAATATTGGTTGGTGCTAAAGTTTAGGCAAATTGGGTCTGTGAGTGTAGTGTATTTGGTTGGGTTATAGTTGTATGAAGGTATAGTTGAAGTTTTTTAGCTTGTGAATTAATTATTGTAAGATGCAGCAACTGTATGCTAGCAGTGTTTGGTATAAATAATTAGTATAAAAAGTTGTTTATAAGGCTGATATAGTTGGTAGATAAGAATTATTTTGTAGTGCTAAGATAATATTTAAGTGTGATGTTGGTAATTTGTTTATGTGGCATAGTAGTTTTTGTTTTGTAAAGTATAAATAGTGTTGTGTTAGGTTATTAATGTTTGTACAGAAAAATTTTAAGCTAGATACTTTAATGACAGTGCATAGAAATATTTTGAGTATAATTATACATCACTAACTAGCAGCAGTACAAGTATATTTGCAGTTTAGACATTTTGAGAGTAGGGCTGTATATTGAAGCTTTGGTGGTGGTAAATAATAGTGTTTAATGTGTATTGTGTTATTTGAATTAGTAATTTTTTGGATTTTCTATAATTTGAGTATTGTTAACTTTTTCAAAAATCTATATGCTTCTTGTTAATGTTATAAAGTTTGTAATAAATGGGTTGGAGGTAATAATAGATATAAATAATGTTGTGGATATATAGAATGTGTTGTGTAGTTCATGGAACTATTTTGGAATTCTATCATCCAATATTTTGAGTATTTTATATATAATGCATTGCCATGAAAGTAGTTGTATATTTGTGTGATTAGTAAGTTATTTAATAGTATATATATTTACTTTGTTAGTTAGTAATTTGATATGTGTTGGTTTGTTGCAAAATTTGATTAGTGTATCAATTGAGGTACCTTTGTAAACAGTTAGTATAGGCAAGGAATTAGAAAAATTACAAATTTGAATATTAAGCTGATATGCTGCTTTGATTGTTTGAGCTATAAATGCATTATAAAACTTGGTAGATAATATGTAATTAGGTAAAAGCAAAATATTGTTATATGAAAATGTAGCATTTTGAAGATGTTGAATTATAATTTTGCCAGATAAAGCTGTTAAAGGATTGGTTAGTTGTATGTAAAGTAATAAAATGTAGTTTTGTATTTGTATATTTGGTAAATTATAAAGGTTGTAGATTTGATAATAGAGTATGATTAAGTTTAGTATAATTAAAGTAAGTTTAGCTTTGTGTTTTACAACTTGCATATAAGAATTAGTTATGCCTTGCATTTTAGATTGGTATATAAATATGTTCATAGTTCTATAAGAAAAGCAAGATACAAGTATCATATTAATTATATAGATTGTTTGTTTTTTAGTAATCTTTTTGTTTTTATAGTATTGATAAGATTGGTAGCTTTAGTAGTAATTTGTCTATAAATGTGCTTATGGTAGTTCAGAAGTATGAACAAGCAGTCAAGATAGCAAAAGGTATGCTTTAGAGATATGATATGTATAGTTGTATTGGCAAAGTTAATTATAAGATTTGGATTTGCTGTTTGATTTGCTGCTAAGATTGATTTGGTGATGTTAGATCTGAAACCTGTGATCCACAAGTGGCCAATTTCATTGTGAATCTTTGCTATTCTACCTCAAGTTACACCTTTCTGGAGTATGAAGATCACCTGCTATATTTGAAATAACTATGCATATAATAATTATAATGCATATATTGCATATATTGATTATAATCATTATATATAATATAAATGCTATAATCATTATAATTATGATAATAATTATTAGCATTCTAAAAATAAATAGTAAATTAGGTATAAATAACATGTAGTTTCACTTAAGTAATAAAGTAGATTCCTCTACTTGACAAATAAATCAAAATAAGAGTTCATCTATGAGTAACTGTAGAGAACTATTGTAAAGAATAAACCTAACTTATATGAAGTAAAAAATTCCAACTTGATTGCCAGTAATTCCTAATGTAATAAGGAATACTGCAATATTAGAAAAGTTTGAGTGATAGTTTCAACATAGTGTAGACTATCTAGGATAAGCTAGACCTAAATTAAAATTGTTTGCCAAATCTACATGCCTCTTTCAACCAAAAGCCATCTGCATGTTACATAATGCTGACCTTTGATTAGTGAAGACTTACTAAATTAGAACCTCTCAGTAGGATTGACAGTAATGTTGGCCATGTTGTAAAAGGATTCAGCTAATTTCACTATTTGTTAAAGGGTTTGTTTGTCAGAGGCTAGATATAGAGTATTATTTATATAGACAAGTACTGAAGTATAGTATGTAAGTAGGTGTTTAGACTAAGTTGATGTTGTTTATATGCCATAGCCATAAAATTTGAAATAAATGTAAGTTATTAGTAGATTATAATAGATATGCTAAAGCAATGATATAATTGTTTCTTTTTGGTCTATGCTATCTTGTATCTAATAGGACCAAGATTTGTAATAACTGAATTATATCAGTTGTTGTAAATATTAACTATAATTTGTAATATGTTTTGGTGAATTTTTATTCAGTTTAGTGCATTTTGTAGAAGTAAAATATCTACAGAGTTATATGCTTTGCTTATGTCCTGAACAAAAAGTCGGATTTCTTTTTTTGTGTTTGTGTTTCTTGAAGTATATTTGTAAGAATTTGAATAGATTGTGTAGTAGATAAGTATAATAAAGCAACAAAGTTATGTAGATTGAGAATAGAATATTTAGATAATATTTTAGTAAATTTGTTAGTAATTAATTTGGTAAAAATTTTCTGTATATGTTCAAGAAGAGTTATAGGTCTGGTGTAATTGAGTTGGCCTGTAAAGATGGGTTTTTTGAGTATTAGATATATTTTGCTTTGTTTTCAATCAGTTGGTATTTCTGTAATATTTAAATATTTGTTAACCAAAATTGTAAAGAGTTTAATAATATATGGGTGGATATGTTTGAGCATTTCATTGAAAATAAATATAGGTTCTGTTGCTTTTTTGTTTGGTAATAAGTCAATTGTACTGATTATTTTCTGTTGAGTTATGGGTCTGTTAGTGTATTGTACCATAAGAGGAATATGTTGGTTTTGGAAGTATATTCACTTTTCTATTGTTTTCAAAGAGCTGAATTGTGTAGGTTATATTTAGTTCAGTTTGCAAAGTGGTTTTTAATGTGTTGGCAGATCTTTTTTGGTTCTGTAATTATAGAATCCTGAAGTTTTATATTATCAAATAGTGCAGAATCTATGTAGCAGTTAATTATACTGTTAATCATAATTGTTGTATTTGAAGTAAAATGTTATAATGTGTTTGAGCATATTATGTAATTTATTGTAAGATTGTCTGTTTGTTTTCTAAATCATAAATATGATAAATGTTTTGTAATGATTTTTTATTGTGTTAATAGTAAGAGAAAGTTGGTTGAAGTTAATATCAGTTAAAGTAAAAAGTATAATAGGTAAGTTCTATGATTTGTATTTTTTGGTTGATAGTATTAATTGTTGTAATATTAGTTGAGTTACTATTATAGAGAGGATGTTGAAGGCTAACAAAAGTGTAAAGTATACTGCCACAGATATTAAGTGCAGAATGTGTTTTTGAAGCAATAAGTGAGAAGTTTTGAAATTGTTTTTGAGAGTGAAGGTAAAAGGTATATGTGTGTTTGCTGTGATAAGCACTGTAAATTGGATTTGATGCCAGAGTTGATTTGTTGTAAGTGCAGAAGCTGCCACTTCAGTAAAAGAGCATAAAAGTTGATAGCTTTTTTGCTAAAATTGCTTTTATAGTTTATTAGTTATAGAATTATATTTAAATGTATTATATTTGTATTTTTTGTATTATTTGGCTGGTTTTGTTTGTATTTAGAAATTGATATAGATAAGATAGTAATCACTATCTGTAATTTCAGATAAATTAATAATGTTAGAAATTGTAAATATATGTGAAATTTGTTATGAACTTCAAATTTTATCAATTTGGCTAGAGAGGTTATTATATGTCCAGATTGGAGTATTGGAATAATGAGTATATACTAGAGGAATAAAGTTGTATAATAGAAGATATTTATATAAAGTAGATCATAATGGTCAGTTAAAATCTTGGTTGAAGTCTTCTATAATTAATGATATGCTGTTAAGTTTTTGTGCTTGTGTAATCCAAAAAATAATTTGTTTTTGTGTTTATTTGTTAACATCAGAATTGTTTGGTAAATATATAGATATAATTTGAAGATTGTTTTTATGTAGTAAGTAGAAGTCAATTGCAATAGCAGTACTATCAAGAGTTTGTATATTGTGAATATATGTTATAAGTGACTAATTGATAAGAACTATTGTTCTTGCACTTAATTCTCTAGGATGGTTTGAGTTAGTAGTATTGTTGTTTGACATAAAACATTTGTAGTTATTGTTGTAAAATGTATTGAGATTATGCTAGTTTTGTTTCTGTAAGTGATATAATATCAAATTGTTGGCTAATGCAATAGTCTAACCATAGTTCTCTTTTAGTAATATTGTTGTATCCTTGGATGTTATATATTGTAATAGTTATGTGCTGTTGTGTGTGTATTACTTTGCTTATTGGAGTGGTGTGTTAACATATTATTAGAAAATATCTATAGCCACTGTCTTTATTGTAAGTAACTAATTAGGTAATATAGTAGAAAGATTGAATATTTTCAAAGTAGAAGTAGGCAATGGTAACAGGTTAAGTAAAGAGTTAGAAATTGTTTTAATTATGTATATTTGTTTAAAAATTTGTATTGTTGGTGTAATTTGTGTTTGTAGAGTTATTAGAAATGTAAGTTGCATATTGTTTAGAAATAATGCTGAGTTGATATCTTCAATGTTATCTAGTATAAGTAGAAGTGCTTGTTTTGTTAATTCTGTTTTATTGACATCAGTTTTGTCTGCTTAATCTGTATTTTGAGTAAGAGGGTTTCAATATTAATTCAAGATGATAGTAGTTGTTTAAAGTAAAAGTGCTGTTAAAATGTTTTTATAATTTGAGTAAGTTGTTAAGATATTGTAATTGGTAGTATAATAATAAGTTTAGCAAGTTTTTGGCTGCCAGTTGGTAAAACTGGTTTGTTTGTAGAGTCTGCTCACATTATATAATCAGGTAATGGAAACCTAATATAATAATATTAAGAGATTTTTTCAAGAAATGCTTTTGCTATTGTATCATCAGTTATTGGATAGATAAAATGTGAATCTATATGAATAAGTTCAGTTTTAGTTGGCAAAAATGGTTTGGTAATAAAATAATTACTATGAAGTAGTTTAAATATGTAGTATTCTTTTAATTGTGTTACAGCTTCAGCTAATGGTATTTTGGATGTAAATAAGTTAAAGAAAAAGAGAACTCTGACTTTATAATTTAGTTCCTGATATGTGGTAAACAATGGTTTTTTAAATGATAAAAGCTGAAAATAGGAAGTTGGAATTGTAGTAAAAGTATAATAATCTGAAGTTTGTATCTTAAGTATGAAAGGTATTGTAATTATTGTCTGTTTGATATTGGAAAATATGTTTATAGTTCTGAAAAAAGTTTTTGATATCTTTTAGATAATGTAGAAAGTTTTGCAAAATAGTTATCTGTTAATTTGTTGAACTTGAAAATTTTTCTTAGTCCATTAATAGTAGCTCTTGTATATAATCTTTGTATAATTGAAAGTGTAAATGATAGGTTGGCTTTGATATGTTCTGGTATTTTACTAAGGTTTTGTAATAGTGATATAAGTTTTTCTTAAAGTGCATTAGTGATTACAGCTCTAAATTTTCTTAGAAGTTTGTTCATTTTTATTTTGAATTTGCAAAAAGTCTCTTGCATAATAGATAGTTTTGTAGACTATGAAGGAGGTATAGTAGGTAAGATTTTAATTAAAGAGGTATTATGCAATAAGCATTTGCTTGAGCATAGTATTGATAGTTTTGCATATAGTTGCATCTGTAATTGGAATTTGGTTAGTTTGTTTATAAGTAGCTAGAGTATTATTATATAGGTTAGTATATTCTTTTTGATATACAAAAGTAGTATTTGGGTTTCTAATAAAAGTAGTGAAGAACTTGATGTCAAGGTATCTAACTTTAAGAAAAATTGTAGATGGAATTACAAATTCAGTTGGTATAGTAACAAGTTTATAATTAATAAAATTTTGAATGTCAGCTAGTATTTGAAGTGCTTTAGCAATTTTCTTATATGACCAAGTTTGTTAATTAAATAAGATATTGATTTGGTCTGTAATTTTGGACTATATAGTCTTTGCCTATTATGAGTCATCAATATCATTGAACCTAGATATGTTAAGTTGTTTTTAAATAATTTGGCTATATGTAGGTCTGGTATTATTAAAATTGTTAGATATTGTAGTTGTAAAGATTAGTAATGTTGTAACTGTAGTATTGGATAGTCCTAATTCATATATTGTTTATATATTAAGTAGTTGAAGCTTAAATGGTTTTTTACTTTGATATTAATTGGGTGTTAATTAAGTTTTGGAAGATTTAGTTATGAGTTGGATAGTTATAGTAGGATTATATTGTGAAACAGAAAGGCATTTTTTTTTTTTAGTATTGGTGTCTTGTGTTGCCTAAGCAGTGTTGTGTAATATAGTAACTAATAACTGTGTTTGTGTAGTGTTTGCTGCAAGACCAGCAGTAAGGTCAAATATAAGCTTATCATCTTGTAAAATATTGCTAGTTCATCTTATGTATTAAGTTCTGTAATCATATTATATAGTATAAGTAGAAGAACTTTGTTAAATTTGGGTACCTTGAATTCCTTTTGGGTTTTTCATATAACTAAATTGTAAAGTTAAGGTTACAACTGCATGTACTTCTGAAATGTTTGGTGCTAATATTTACAAAGTTGTTTTTTGTTGTTGTAAGATTAAAAAATATCAATTGAGAAGGTTCTTGTGTTTGTATAGTCATTGAGTTGGAAATGTAATAAGGTTAAATATATGATCAAATTTAGTAAGATCTATAGTAAAGAGATATTTGTAGTAAAACTAAGAATAAGAAAGGTAACTGTAAAGATAAGTTTAGATAGGTCTTTTATAGTAATATTGAATTTTTTTGCATATTTAATATGTGGATTAATGATTAGAATTATAAATATAGAATTACTTGAACTGGTAGATTTTTCAGTAAAATAAGCTATTGAAGAAAAAAGAAAGTGTATTGAAAAGTTGTTTAGTTCAGAGTTTGTAGTGTGTTGGTTTGTAGGTTATTGTAGTTTTTTTGCTATTTTTTGGAGTTGCCATCTTACATTTATATAATGAGTTAGTAAAGTTGTAAAGGTCCTTATAATCATTTTTGCTGAAATGTAAATTGTTTATTACAGTTAGTGCTTGGATCTAGTTTATAAAATCCGGTTATATCCAGATATCAAAAGAATAACGGATACTCTTTTTTAAAAAAAGATATTCAATCTGGATTTAATTTTTAAACTGTTATAAATCCAATTTTTATCCAGATATAGTAATAATAATAAATGCATTACTAAAGCAGAATTAAATCAATATATGATTTCATACTACATAAATTACATTCTTGATATCTATATAAACCTTTATTATAACTGCATTAAAAAGGTAAACCTAAACATCATTCTGCTTTAGCCAACCACCTAATTTGGTAAATTAATCTGCGATGACTATAGGCTCCTGATTTACAAATCCAAGTCTTGATTCTAATTTCTCTATTTTTAGTAAAATGATACACTTCTAAATGGAAATTAATTATCTGCAATATAATATTATGCAGTTGTGCCCATTGTGCTAAATATTAGACACTCGATTCGCAGATTTAGATTATCATTAATAAAGTGATACTTTAATATGCACATCGTAATTTTGGCTAAAGCAGTCCATTCTAAAAATGTTTATATCAAATCTCATAGTGAATTAAGTATAATGATAGATTGCCAATTATTTCACGTAGATAATGCAATAAATAATACATTATCTATTTTGTTAGATTTTACGAATTCCGTTAAGTAAAAACCTTGTAAGATTCAATTCTGTATCAAGATTTTATAATCTTACAGGTTTTTAGTTGTTAGAATGTTATACCCTTTTAGGAAAAATTGTCTATGCTATAGATCAACTATTCAATATTAAGTATTTGATTAAAAATTTATTCACTAGAACTGCTAGTACTAAAAAGTATACATTTTAGCAGGCTTTAGTAATTCTTGAATGATAATAATCTAATTTGTCAGAGAAAAATAAGCAATTTCAAGTAAAACTAGAATAGCTTTTTTTCAAAAAGTAAAATTCTTCAGGCTTTTCTTAGAATTACTCACATTCAGATTTTTGCTTAAATTAATTAAGAGATTAATAATAATATGTAAAGCTATTTCTAATCAAACTGATATTTAAAAAAATGAAACCATAAATCATTCATCATCCAGATCTAAAAGAATAATCGTCATATGAAAATAGTAAGAACAAAAAAGATAGATTAATTAAATATGCAAAAAAGATATAATAAGATACTAATCTGGGAATTTCAAAGACTTTTGATATCTTGCACATGCATGAAAATTGATAAAAGTATCTAAAGACTTATAAAAAATAATGTTAAAAATAACATGCTATCATAAATAAGAAAAAATACATAAGACAATAAAGATTGGATATATTCAATTATACACTAGATCTAATAAAGAAAAATTAAATTAGATTTTTCTATTGCAAATTCTTTATAAAAGGTTATTAAATGAGAGCTTTTGTATCTAATAGTTGAAAAAAAATTTGAAATAAACTTTAAGTACTAAATTTACCAAATTATATAAAACTAAAATGTCTAGTATTAAAAAATGAAAGCGTAAATACTCTACTAATTCCAATTTGACACCAAATTCTAATGAGAATTCTTGTCCTGAAAATGCTATTTATATTTCTAATAATGAAACTAGTGATGAAACATTAAGCGACGAAAATATTAGTACAAGCTCTAATAGTGATGAAGAACACACTAATAAAAAATTAAACCCCCAAACAAGATCACGAAGAAATGCCAGTTGGGTTTGGCACTATTTTCATAAAAGGCCCCCTTCAAAAAAATAGAAAAGGTGTGCAAATTGCACTGTAATTATAAAAGATAAAAAATCTCCAAATGGTCAGTGCAAATGTGGTCAACTAATTAAAACTTAAGGCTCTACTGGCAACTTTCAATCATATTTAAATGCTCATGGAATTACTATTCCTACTCAAATAAATAGTATAGCAGCTCAACCAACTATTGATGAGATGTTTCAAAATGCTGTTAAGCAAAATCCTCATCAAAAAGAATCTATTGAATGTGCCTTGGTTGAATGGATAGTTACAAATTCTCAGCCCTTTTATGTCTTGCAAAATGGAAGCTTTGTTAAACTAATTCATACATTAAATCCTTATTATGAATTACCTTCCAATAAACAAATTAAAGCACGTATTCATCAAAGTTACAATAATTCAATTGAATATCTCAAAACCCTTTTTTAACAGAACTCAAAACATGCAGTTTGACATGTGACCTGTGGACTGCTCGTTCTAAAAATGGTTATTTAGGAATTACATGCCATTTTATTAATTCAAATTATGAGCTAAAAGAAATTATACTTGCAGTTAAATACGTCCCATACCCTCATGATGCTATAACTATTAAAACTGAGTTAGAGAATGTAATCAATGATTGGAATCTTTCTGAAAAAGTGATTTCAATTACAACTGATAATGCTGCTAGTATGATCAAAGCTATTAGTTTGATGGATCAGGTAGATCGTATTCCTTGTACAGTCCATACTATACAACTTGCTATTGGAAAGGGTTTAAAACCTGCAGCAACTTTAATACAACATGTAAAACAGTTAATTAATTTTTTAACTACACCTAAACAAAATGAACAACTACAAAAGTCACAAGAAATGCTAAAAGTTTCTAAAGAAAAAATTAGTCATAATGAAAAAATGTATTATCGTGCAATTTTTAATGTTACTACATGCTGGAATTCCTCATACTTTGCATGAAAGCGACTTCTCCAACTTAAACGTACTATTATATTAATGGAAGCAACTATGAGTGATGATTCTGATTCCAAAGCTCATAAAGATGCTAAGAAATTAAAGTCTATTATGATAACTGAAGATGAATGGATAGTTCTTGAAGAATTGACTATACTCTTAGCACCTTTTGCCGAAATTACTGAATTGTTAGGTGGTAGCAATTACTCTACGATTAGCTTCATGTGGCCAGCTATTACTATTCTTACCAAAAGTTGTAATCTATCAGTAGCTAGTGCAAGTATTGAAGAAATTGACTTAATAGATGCATCAGATGTATTTGATGATATTGAAAAGAATATAGTCGACTTGGATGAGGAATTTGCAACAATTACTATTGCTAATGGTAATGTGATTAAACTTAATCAACCCCAAAATACAGATGGATTGGTAAATAAAATTAAAAAAAATTTATATGCAGCAT